TTTTTGTCACCATTGGTCTATTAAAAGTTCATATTATCCCCCCCCCCCCCCCCGCCCCATATAATAATCTCTAATAAATTGACCTTTGCCCTGACTGTGCTACAATGTTTTCACCTAAAAGCCAAGAAAGGACAAACCAAATCCTTACTCTAGGGAAGCTCTAGCGTTGACTTTATTGAAAGTGTAATGGTACTTTAGTTATTTGAGGATGTCCTGCAGTTCCATCAAAGGCCAGCAGGGGGATCCTGTTCTAATGGCAAGGTTTACTGATAAGACTGAATATACCTAGGTATCTAATTCTATTTCACACATGAACTCTTCCTCAACGACTGAACACTAAACATCATCCACTGATACAACAGGGTCAACAAGGAAGTAGTTTGTGATGTTTTTTTTTTGCTGATCATCATGTGCCATGTGCTTTCATTCAGCATGAACAGTGTGCAAATTGAGGCAAATTAGAAAATAAAATGTGATGCCAAAAAATATTCAGACTCCCTCACTTTTTTCCACATTCCAAGATTATTCTAGAGTTCTCCTTAAAGAAACACCATAAATTATCCCAAAAACACAGAGCATGGTTTGTGACATTTATTATAATCTGTAAGAAGGATATAAAAGCATTTTGACATAAGAGGTACATATTGTGTGCTTTCAGAACTGGATGTGATATTTGATTTCCACTGCTCATCCTTGAGAGCCTTCTGCTCTCAAGCTTCTGAATAGGACACAAACATCTGAGGCAGGTCATGATCTTATTAGGAGACGTTCATCTTTCTCTGTGGAGGGCATGTCAGAAAGCCTGCCTGGAACAGATATGATTAACATGTTCCAACAAATCCTCACCAGAGCAAATATTCAAATCATTTTTAATACTTCTGTTAGTATTTTCCCAGCAGCTTTGGCAAACAGTACGTTGGGTCTGGCTGCTTTCCAATGCCAGAACCAGATTTGCTCTGCAAGAAGGGGAAAAAGAGATAGTCCCATTGTTGGACAGTTGAATTTATTGGCACAGCAGATAAGAAGTTCAAGCAGCAGATTGGTGGATTACTACAATCATAAACTGTCAAAGGTGGAAAGGATGTAGAGGAAGAAACGGTTAACCTGCTGCAAGAACTTTTTTTGTGCATAGTTGTATGATTGAGCCTGCATCCGTGGAGCTGCTAGGGTGTATACATTTATGTCTTACTGCATAATTTAATTAGTGCCAACATAGTTTATTTATTTTTTGTGTGCATTCAATTGTATGCTTATTTATTTATTGAGCATTAATTTATTCTAATGTTTTGGCAGAATTGGTTCTCTATATCTTAGAATCAGTGGAGCTTACCTGAGTATAGTTATTCCTCATGTCCGTCACTAACGGCTCTATTTGGATCAGAATCTCTTAAGAATATTTCCGATGGCAAAAAAGGTCCAAAATAGGAACTAGCAAGGCGTTCCTGATAAACTGCTGTATCTTTATAAGTGTAATAATAAAATACCATTGTTAAAAAAGAGCAAAGTGATGCCAACATTAAATTACATATCATACTTGGTTCTATGTTATCATTTCTATGTGTTGAGCAGATTTTTGAGTGAGTGACTCTCCTGCAGCGAGCTCATAGCAGATGGAGGATGCAGTATGCAAAGAGGAAACATTCCAGAGAAATCCCTGCAACCAAAAGATGTGGGCGACATTTTCAACCAGGATCTATATTTAGCTCAGCAGGAGCTTCGAATAGAACCTCCTCCCTGGATATTCATGAATGGAGGGAAGCTTGTGCCGAACTGTGATGAGTGGGACGGAGGGAGGACTGCTCAGCGCTCTACCTGATGCTCTATTCTTAGCTTCACTGCTGCCTCTCTCAGCCTGCTCCCTGTTATGGAATGGCTAAAAATAGCTGCATGGAAACAGGAGGTGGTGGAAAAACAAAAATAGAATCTAGTTTCTGATTTGCATATAACTTTATATTTTTGCCTGTCTGAAGACATCATTTGTAGATAATAAATCAAATATTATGATCAGTTCCTCTGTACCTGAGTGACCTTTGTATGAAATACTTTTCTAATCTTACTGGAGTCATTTCTTGGATGACTACTTTATTACTACTTTATGTTTACTTGTAAGTAAAAATATGTTGAAGTAGTGCTATTCATACTCGAGTTAAATTTTTTAACTTTACCCACCTCTGGAATTAGGTGACTTCTGAAGGCATTTGTATCCACTGGTTTTTATTTTAATGTTTTGGAAGATAGAGGGATGAAGAAACTGTTAAGATATACATAATCAACCATGTCTCCTTTTGCTTGGTCTACTTCATTGCTCTAGGTTGCAATTGGCTGTGTTGGTCTTTCACATAAAAGATGACTGCACAGGTGAAAAAAGATATTCAGAAATTACTGTTAGAAATATCTGTAATTCTTAATTGAAATATTCCAGCTGGATGGATGGGATTTTCAGCAAGTTTTGCTTTACTCCAAACCTTAAAAGATTGCTTATCAACTACATAAAAAATATTCCACATCTATTAAGATGTTTAATTCAATCTTCTTATGAGTGTAAAATAGCCATCAGCTCCTCTGACTGTTTTCACAGGACGATGGTGTTGGCAAACAGAGCAGTGTGCTCATCTGGCTTTAAATGTCAGTGGGCGGTGTATCTGCATGTTTGCATATTTATGTGTCTGTGGGTGTATGACGAGGGGAGAGGGCTGTGGGAAAGCAGGGACGTGGGATGGAGGCCGAGACGTGCTCTGACTGTAAAGACGGGCCCAGCTGTGGTGATTTTCTCTGCATGCACCCAACCTCAGTCTGATCTGGAGGAACTCCTCCTTACCTGATCACTGGGTTATTTTTAGACTTCACGTGACTTTACGTCAGCAACTTCGTGCTGATTTTACACAGTGCTGTTCACTCACAGCTCTTCCACACACAGCACACATCTCACCTTTATCCATCTAAAACCAACTTTCGTTCTTTTGCGTTGTCAAAAGACTGGGTTATAAAAGCAAAACCAGCAACAAATGCATCAAGGTGAAACAAACTTGCAGACTGTTCCGCCCAGATTTTATTTTTGTTGACTTTTCTGTCATCAGTCGTTGTTTTTTTTTTTGTTTTTTTTTGCCATGAAGCAGTTTTTGGTTGTATGATTGTGATGAGAAGCCAGCCTTGTTGCTGCCATGCTGTCATCAGAGCTGGAGGCTTTTTTTTGTGGCTCTCATCACCTCCTCATATCAACTTCAGTTTAATAAAACAGCTTTTTGTTGCTTTTTTCAGCAGCCATTGATGTTGAAAATAAAGCTGAGCTGATTCTTGCTGACCTCCTGAAATTATTTCATTTGATGGCTCTGTTCGCAGATATTTCAATTCTGTTTTCTGATATTTTGTAACGGTAGACATTTTTAGCTCCTGCTGTGTTGTTTTCTGTTTTGTAAAAATGATCCTTTTTTCTGTTGTGATCCGTATTCTCCTCAGAATATGAATGTGATGAAATCCTGTGACATGATTAGACATGGGTTATTGTTGTTATAATTGCTGGAATCTGTCCATCTGTCCATCTTAACATTTTGAACCCTGGTGGTTATGTTCATGTCCGTCTGTTCTTCTCATGCTGTTTCCTAAAAGCTGTTGTTGCTGTGATTTAATTTTCCAATTCTCTGATTCTCTGCTCGTTTCTGTTTTCATAGTTTTGATGTGGAGAATGGATTATCAGTGGCACGCAGCCCCCTGGACGCCCAGAGCAGCTCCAGCTCTGGTCTGGTCCTCCAGGCCAACTATCCTCATAGTCAGAGGCGGGAATCCTTCCTGTACCGCTCTGACTCTGACTTTGACCTTTCACCTAAAGGTCCCTCCAGGAACCTGTCATCAGCCAGTGATCTGTAAGTTCTTCTCCTTCATTCTTCCTTTGGATGAATCACTTGATACGTTATTTTTCTACAATAAAATCTGCAATACTCATTGCGTTGTGTCAAATTTTTAAATGTCTTTTTCCTGAGGAACTTCCCTTTCTTTCATTTTATTGTCTTACTGAGAAAAAAATTAATTATTTATGTATATAAAAATCTGAAATCTCCATGATTTTCTATTGGCTCTTCAGCAGAATGTCCTGATGCTGGGATATTAAGATTAATTATTTGAATGAATTTTTTCTTGTTCTATCATAAATCATGATTTATTGGTCCCCAATTTCAGTCTGGGTCATTTGATAATAACCTTTAACTGATTATTTTTTCTGCTTCTGGGAATGAGGAGTGTGTCAATGGGAATTTCTGCCCATGCTTCCAAAAATGCATTTATGATGTCAGACCCTGATGTTGGACAAGAAGATCTGGCTGTTGGTGACTGTACTAATTATTCCTAAAGGTTCTATGTTAGGTTGAGATCAGGACTCTGTGCAGGCCAATCATGTTCTTCCACATGAAACGGATGTGTCTATTGTCCTTGTGGACCTGTGCAGTGGTATGCGGTGTTGCTGGAGCAGGACAGGGCCAACCAAAGTGGAGAATGAAGGAAAAACTCTTGAAATTTCTAGGTTTGTAGTTCTAGACTCTGCAGAACGTTGGTGGCCTCATCAGTACCCGATGACCCTGCTCTGTGATTTTACAAGGCCTGTATTTTTGTGGGGGAGTCATCTCAGTTCCCAATCATTTCTACTTTATTACTATACCCCAAACAGTCGACTGTGGAAAATTCAACAAGGAAAAAGTCAGTCTGGACTTACTGCACATAGTATCCCATCACAATACCTGGCTGCAACACACTGAGCTGAGAGGGACCCATTCTCTCACAAATGTTTGTAGAAGCAGTCTCACTCACACACTCAAACACCGTACAATTACAGCTTTCAATGAACACGTCTTGTTCTGCTGTTTATTAGTGGTAAGCTAGGCTAGTTTAATATTAGCAATTTTTCTTGCTCTTCAGGTGACTTTTACAATTTAGTTCATGATATGTTTGGTTCACATTTTACATACAAATTCCTTCAGCTTCTTGGATGTAGCACTTTTTCTTGAATTGATTGATTAGGATTTCAGCTGCTTTCTTTGCAGCTCTCTGTCCTTCACTTAGAGCAGCCTCTTTTTACTGTAGAATAGGTGTAAAGAATGAAAAACATGTAGATTAGGCATATCACAAAATCTTTGCACATAAAAATAGTCCAACTGTCAAAAGCTAGCTGTGCAAACCGCAGCTATACAGCTCACTGAGAAAACTAACAAATTCCTAGAAACAGGTAACAGTATCAGGAATCCCAATACAGAATGCATTGATCAGAGCACTGAAAAGTTTCCACATATGAGGACTGCGTCAGTTAGCATTTTCAGATTGTTTTAGAACTACAGATGTTTAGGAGCTTTATATATATATATAT